CCCCCTAATTTTCTATCTTTCCCTTTCACTTATACTTTATTGTTACATCGATGTCCTTGATAACATTGGTTATAGTCACTTATCTCATAGAGGAGAATGAGATTAAAGGTGTATGACTGAAATAAACTAAAAAGGTGAGTGGATGTCTACGCTTCCATTTTCTTTTTAAGAAAAGACGAAAATCGACCCCCTCCAACCCCCCTCCTCATCACAATTCAGTACTTGAGCAGCTGGATCAGAAGGGAAAAGAAAACAGCAAGAAAAGCATTACTGTCTCCACCACCGCCATCCCCAATTCAGTTACAACCAATAACGGCTACAACATCATGACTTAAACGAAAACAGCAATCATTCAAAATCACAATTATTCAGTCAATAGATCCCTCAACGCACCAACCTATAATCATGCCACATAACTGATATATCAATAAAGAATCAATCAATCAGTTCATTACGCAAAACACTCCTGCGGGACGATCAATCATTACTCAACACGTTTGAGAGAAACTTATAACATGGACTTACTGTGGAGATATAAAATTGTGTAGCGTTAAAACAATCAAAGTAAAATATACCAGGTTTCGTGCAGAATATCCCACCGAGACTGAATCGAACACACTCTTACCTGCCCGAGGATAAATCCAGTAGTGTGTATTATATCTGATCTGAGCCAACGAAAGCGGAACCTCTTCCCTTCGATCCGGCCCGTTCAGTTTACCAACAAGGAAGAGTAAAGGGCGATGGGAGTCGAGCGCATTTATTACGTAGGCCTCTAGATCTACCTCTCGCTCCCTTTCTTTAACCTGCGAGGACGGGTCTTACGCTGAACTTTGCCGCATGATTCAGCTGTCTACCGCGTCGTTTTGCCACACTTGGATGACCAAGGTACGATTTAGTCGGGCGACAAGACTAGAGCCATGCTTAGGTCTCACTTTTATTTTTCACGGATGAGGAGTTATCTTGTACTTTTCAGGGACGCTATGCCTTGCTTGTAAAGGAAGCGTAACAAAAAGTCAAATATAGGTACATGAGCATGATAAAAAACGGTAGATATACTGTTAGAATCTGAGAAAAAAAAAGAAGCAGTATAGAAAGAAAAGGGTGTCTGAGTTTGGTGGGAGCTTTCAAAAAGAAAAAAAAAAAGGAAAGAGGTTAAAATGTCGCAAGAGGCACTCGCCCACTCTCCAAAAAAGAAGTTAAAGACCTAGACTAAACTATACCAACAAGTACACGAACTTAAAAAAAAAAGAAGAAACTCTTTCTTCGGTCATCTGTTCTATTGTCTTTTTCTCACACTCGTCTAAATCATTCTGCTTTTCTTTCTCTTTATCTCGTTCTTCTTTTGTTCACCTTTAATAGCAACATCAAACTTACAAAACGCACGTTTTAAAAGTGTAATAATAATAATAATAATAATAATAATAATAATAATAATAATAATAATAATAATATTAATGATACTACTACTAATGATAATAATAACAATATTAATGATATTGATAGTGATGCTAACAGTACTAACAATGATAATAATGATGACGATGATAATAATATTCCTTTAAATAGCGTACTTCCACATAAAAAGTATTCAGTGCGCTGTACCTGTACAATAATACATGTGCACTGAACACGTGCATCATACAGTCCTAATTGTGATCCATTTTCATTGTCTCCCCCCTCTCTTTCTGTCTGTCTGTCTGTCTGTCTGTCTGTCTGTCTGTTTGTCTGTCTGTCTCTGTCTGACTGTCTCTCTCTATGTCTCTCTGTCTCTCTGTCTCTGTCTGTCTGTCTGTCTGTCTGTCTGTCTGTCTGTCTGTCTGACTGTCTCTCTTTATGTCTCTCTTTATGTCTCTCTTTCTC